GAGAAGATGGTTTTCACCGTGGCCTGCGCTACCAACGAGCTCTATGTCGTTGCACTCCCTCTGACGCCGCCAAGTCCCGAGAGCAAAGCGCGACCTGAGCTGAAATCCAACTTGTTGGCTGGCAAGGCTGGGTCTGGTGTGTGGGGGGAGAGGGTCATTTTCCTCGGTGGACAATACAAGCACAGCGAAGGCATCGCCATGTCATTAATCAAGCCCAAGACTGAAAAGTCTGGCATTTCACAAAAGCCACGCCTGGTCGTGGCCGCGCACACCCGCGAGGCGTCCGGCACTCTCCGTCTCTGGGACGTTCCCCTGGATGTACAGCCCGGCGAAGCCAGCGGCCGCATCAACCCCTTCCAAACCGAATATCTACCGAGTCCTCTTTCAAGCATCTCCTTCAACCCTACACATCTCACACAAATTCTGACGGTTTCTACGCCTCACGCCGTTCGCATCTATGATTACGCGCAGCCCTCCTTGCCTCCGGACGACCAGGCCGTAGGGCCTTTCCCCAGCCAAGGGTCATGGCTTCTCTCCCTGTACCACCCTTTCACTCGTCCCACTTCAACGAGGAAACCTATCCTCGATGCTGCCTGGATTTCCCATGGCAGAGCCGTTCTCGCCCTGCTTGCCGACGGCACCTGGGGAATCTGGGATGTGGACGGCGCCAGCCCGTTGGGTGGTTCCCTCCTTGGAAAGAACAGCTCTGGAATCAAGGGTGCGGCGCTGACAGCCTTCAACGCGACTGGGCATGTTGAGGGAACGGGTCCCTTGCGGGCCACAGCTGCAGTGCCAAGGTCGAATGGCAACGGGCAGTTTGTGCCTATGACACCCCACACCCGCCGTGATGCTGCAGCATCCTTGAGTGCTGCCGGCTCCCTGGAACGCCTCGTAGCCGTTAAAGGAGGCATTGTGGTGACGGCCCTTCCCGGCAACAGCTCAGGTTCCGCCGATGAGAGCGTTGTGCTGTGGATTGGCGGTCTTGATAATGTCTCCGTCATTCCCGCGGTCAGCCGATTCTGGGACTCGCAGCTGCGACGCAGCTCCGGCGGCGGCGTGAACCTGTTCAGCGGTACTACGCCTACAAAGATGATCCGACTCCACGACTTGGCTACAGGGCTATTGGGCGAGAGATGCTGCGGCGTGGGTGCAGCAGTCGACTTTTCCAAGCTCAAGGACAACGATGGTGGTCTTCAAATCGAAGTTTTTGTCATGGGCGAGAGCCGACTGGTCATTGTCCAGGAGTGTGAAGATGCACCCGGCGCGAAGATTGGAGGTGTGGTTTCAACCCGCCGACGACTTTTCGACAAGAAGGAGCAACCTAGCGCCATTATTGTCCACCCCCGACCGGACCAGCCCCGCAACGTCTCCTTCAACCTCAGCGTCAACAAGACGAGAAGCCTGCGCGATCAGTCCTATGGACGTGACAGCATTGCCCCCGACGACGATGCCACCCACGACTTCACGCTGCCCATCGGCAGACCGAAGTCCAGCATGGGCTTCGGCGGCTTCGCCAGTGGCCTGGAAGCCGCGGCGGACGTGCAAGGCGACGACGCAGGCCGCGACTTTGAGGAGGAGATGCTGGATATCATGGAGATTGATCAAGCTTTGACGACGATGGAAAGCGGTGGTGGACGCAAGAGGGTGTCATTCACCTGAGATCTGACCTACCGATGTTGGCTGACGAAAAGATTGAACTAGAGAAACAAAATGTACGATACCCATGGGCCGCCCACACGTACGTCCAACCTCGTTGGTACGCGGCAAAGACTAATGCAAATGATGCCTACTTTTCTTCTTCTTTTCTCTTCCCCTTTCATGCAAACACAATCGCAAACACTCGCCGAGGTCTCTTCAGACCAAGGCATCCGCACTTCAAGGTGGAGCGCAAGGAGAGATTCATCCTTGACTGCTCTGTATTATGAGCGGTACATCAAGAACCCCGTCCTCTGGGTTTACCACCGCAAGGCACAAGATCGCAAGATGAAGTGTTGTCGGGGGTAGGCCAACCATGACGGGGCGAGCCGACGTTTCCTATTTCAATGGACAGGGAATTTTTACGGGTGGGGGCATCTGGGTGGTTCGGTCTTGCGAATTGACCATTTGCTCTCCCAGCCTCCGCGTCATCCTGTCATCTGTCTCGGTTCCCGGACTCCGGTTGCTTTTGCGGCCGGGGGAAGATGGGACGGGCGGGGGATGTCAGGGTTGGGAGGTGGTGTCGTCGGTACATTTTCCCAAGTGATTGTGCGTGCAACGGTCCAGACTTGTGATGCGTGACTTGCTTGGCTTTTGTCTTACTTTCTTGCGGTACTATGGTATGATGGGTAAGTAAAACCTCCCGGACTGGTAGCGTGGGGATTGGCGGCCCACAGGAAGCTCTGGATTAACTACTGACTGGCTGCTGTGAGCGATGTACCGCACCTGGTCTGCGTGAGCCACAAATACTTGAACAGGGGCTTTTACTTTGGCCTGCTACCGCAGTATATTGCCTTCCCCTTCTGTGCCTTCTGGTGATTGCTCAGCATCGATGAACTTTGCGAGATACTCGGTTTGTTGCGGTACTCATGCTGTCAACCCTTTTTCCTGAAAATAGGCAAGATCTCCAAATGAAGAACCACAAATGCGGCAAGTCGTCTACCCACAACCACCTTCATCTAGGCGCAATCTCGAAAAAGTCACATCAGATTGCCATGTCGCATCTACTCTCCGAGCTAAATGAGGCTCTTTCGCAGCGAAAACTCGGCCATTCCGGGATGTAGCCGGTTGGGAAAAGGGGGCGTGGGGGCCGGTCCAATTTGGCTCAATTAAACAAACTTTGGACCATTGTCTACTTGACGATAAGCGTATCTGGCCACCAGGCAGGCATGAGCCCTGGGCAGTGGGTTCTCAGATAGATTCCGTCAGCGAGATAGACTTTTCGGGCGGGAGTGATTAGTCTTCTTGTTCTTGGCAGGTCTGGATTTGTGAATGTTGAAGCGATGGTGTGAACGAGTCGATAGCCACGTTAGGGCACATGGAGACCCTGCGAGATTCATCATGTGTTGTGCAAGAAAAGATGTTCATATTCAACGCTTGTAGTAATGGTATCAAAAGGTCTATAGATCAACTCTGCGCAACCCAGCTGCCTCAGTAGGATGTAAAAAATCATAATGTCGTCAAAAAAGGCCCTTCGAGACCAAGAAAGCAAACAACGGTCGTCCCTCTTCGTCCTCTACACGCCCCGAAACCTCTTCCCGTCCTGGGCAGCGCATCTCTTTCAATGCTTCAACCCCATCTCGGCTCGTTGTCGGGAATCTGAGGCATCCCCCGCGGCTGGGGGGGCGCCGGCGCCTCGGCCCTCTTCTGGAGCTCCTCGCGGGCGCTCTTGGCCGTCGACGAGGGGCTCGGCTCGGGCTCGCAGATGTTGGTGTTGGGCTGCGGCTTGTTCTTGCAGACGAGCCCGCCGCAGCAGGGCTTCTTTGTGTCGGCGATGCTGGTGAAGCAGAAGCCTGAGAGATAGGTGTTAGTTTTCTGAACGAGGGTTGTGAGAGTGAGTGAAGGTTACTAACCTCCGTTGGCGATGCACTGTCTCTTGACGAGGCCGGCGTCGACGCTGATGGCGGACGCGGCGCCGACGATGGCAATGAATGTGACGAGTGTGAACTTCATGATGGAATGTGTCTAGTAGTTGTGTGTGTAATGAAGGTGTTCTTTTGGGTTTGTATCGTTGTTGTTCACAAATGTTGTATCGTAGCGAATGTGTCGAAATGAAAGCTTGAAGATAAACTCGTAAGGTTGATGATGGGCAGGACTAAAACGCATCCCACTCGGAATCGAGGGATCTCGCAAGCTATTATATGCCCCATACTCAAACGTCGACAAACCCCCAGCCCCTCCTCTGCGAGTCGTGCTATTACAAACAGCCGTAATATCAACCCGATCTCTTGGGACAAGCGGGGAGGCTGTGCAGTCTTCGGAAGGCGGCGACGCGGTTACACACCCCACGGCACAAACTTGCGCAAGCAGATGAGCGAAGGTGACGGGCGGCCTGCCGTGCAACGGCGTAAGATGACCCCCCTCTGCGGGTACGCGTACGCTGGTTTGAGCTGGGTTGTACCAGGTTTCGGCGGCGTGCCTTTTTTGCGCGCGTGTGTGTACCTGCATACAACTCTCTCCCACACACTACGCTTTCTGCCGTCTCAAGGCTGGGCCGGGCGTAAGACGTAGGGCGTGCGTGATCAGTGGTTGCGGGTTCGTCGGATCGTACGGACTCGTGACAAGGGAGACGGGGAGGGAAGCTCCTGTGTGGGAGCAGTCAGGACAAGTCCTTGGGGAATAACTCCCCCGGGGGGGAGCAAGGAAAAGACACACAGCAACCAACACCTCCGTCGCTGCTCCAACCGGAATTTAGAGTTCACCACATCCCAACCAACTATTCTAGAATCCCGCTGCAAGGCGACACTTGCGGTTTCAGACCAACCCTCGCCCACCAATCGGCGACCAAGGCCCAGCGCTCAACGTTAAATATAGCAATCTTCATTTTTGTCCTGTGTCGTCTGGAGTTCGAAGTTGGGATGAAAAAGCCCGACACCCTCCTCCTCCTCCCCCTCCTCTTTCTCCGAGCAGAAGATTCAAGAAAGTGCTCAGCCAACTAACGCGTCTTCTCCGTGAAAGATCGGACGTCGCTGGCTGGCTGGTCATCGCATCGGAACACGGCCGATGACAGAGCAGCGCAACATCCATCACCTGCCACGGGCGTCCTACGCGTCCAGCCGAGACCGGCACCGCTCCTCGAGGTATCGGCCATCCCACGTTCTCGACGGCAGGGCGATGTTGATTGTGGCATGAAGGAGCTCGAGCCGCGTGATGGTAACTCTGTCGCTCACGCGACAGCCTCGTCGGCGGCGCCGAGCGCTGTTGGGAGAACCTTCTCACTCTCGCGAAGATCGTCGGCGACAAACTCAGTCCGCTCCATTTCTGTCCTTTAACAATGCGAAGACTTCTTCGTCAAATGCTGCATAATGCTGCTGCTCTGGGCTCCTTCCAATACTACCTCCTCAGAAGCCCAAGAACTGCAGAACAGTTTCAACAGTACAAACTTTTCTCAAAACCCCCCCAGCCCATCTTACGCCTTGGCAAACTCCTTCCCCCTTCCCCGCCCCCAAGAACCTACAACAGCCAACAACCACGCTCTCCTTCGTATGATGTACGTACGCATCCCATGCCAAAAGAACATGAGACGAGACGAAAACACCGCACAGGGCGGACTCTTGGGCTACTCCACACACCTCCCAACCCAACTGATTCGTGGAAGCCGCACGAATCATCCGGATCTTGACTCAACACACGCACCGCACACATACTGAATCCGCGTAATCGCACACAACCCACGCAGCCATCGCAACGTCCGAAGCAAAGGCTTGTCATGCATTGCTATTTAAATTGTAAAGTGGCGTCCGTGCAGATGAGTGAGAAAAGTTCGGATGGAGGACACTTCCCTTCCTTCTCCGCCGTGCGTTGATGAGGGTGGACCGGCCAAGTTGAGGCCGATGGCGGTGCCGGGTACTCGGCCCCACTAATACCGGCGTCGGCCCGGCCAGATCTCTTTCTCTGACTCTCGTCCGCCATTCACCGAAAAGCCGCCGGACGTACCCCATACCTCCAAACCTCTTCAAAACTTCATTCCTCACCATCTCGACATCTTCCCCAGCAACAGTCAACGTTCCCTCCGCCACCAACGCTCCTCCTCTTCCGGCTTCGTACTAACGAGCCAACGACTGGAATCCAAAGAACCACCGCCACATCTGTTGCAGACATCTGCCATTCCAACAACTGAAACCCACACCCACCCACCCATCCTTTCCCCAGCCAACCGACCAACGCAAAGGGCGTGGAGGTCACGTTCGTGGCTCCAGAACACTGGATGACGATTCCTGTTCCATTCATGGAATGTGCCAGTGAGTCACGAGAGAAAAGTTTCACTCACACACATGCATACACACAAATCAATAGTCACATTGTCGCAAAACGTCCAGTCCAAAAGACTAAGTAAGTGAAATTCAATTTCAATTCATCATATACCACTTCCCAATCATCGTTCTAAATCCCTGACCAAGTAAATGAATCTCATGATCGCTGGCCGAGGCTCGCCTCGCGCCAGAACTAGATCGAGCTCCATTTGTTCCCGAAAAGAAAACCCCCATCAATACCGAATATCCCTAAAAAAGGAAAAATGCCATTTCCTGAATCGCCAAAAGTTGAAATCCCAATAAACCCCCGTTTGCCACCCCTGAAGAAGCCGAACCCTTTTATTTTAACCCCCAATAGTTGTAGTAGTACATCCGTCCCGGCGAGCTGATATCGCGAGATTATCGTCATTACGTTGATCCGGGGCGCGTGGTGCTGCAGACTTGAAGCCAACACACAAAGCGTAACATAACGTACAGAGGTCGCCGTGATTAGACAAAGGAGCCGTGACGTCGTGAAGATACCCCTTTTCCTAAATGGAAACCCAATACGCCAGAGACCCCAAAAAAGACCAGAGTGTTGTCATCATGAGCTGCCAAAGAAGACGTCGTCGTTGGTGAACATGTTGACGGGGTCATCGAACTCGTCAAACTTGTTCATCATGAGCATGTTGGACTCGCGGTCAAACTGGACGAGGCCCTCCTCGCCGGAAAAGGTCTTCATCAGCATCTCGTCGTCGGGGTCCAGGCCCAGACTGGAAATGCTGGTGTTGCCGACACCGACGCCGGCGTTGCCCCGCATACCGGCGAGCAACGAGTCGTCGCTGAAGCCGGAATTATTGGGCTCGGCGTCGAAGAACTGGTTGGGCGGGGGCGAGGATGACTGGGAGAGCTCGGGCGGGGTGTTGTACTCGCTCTTGGCTGGGGACTCTGGTTGCTGGGACAACGCCGTTGGCGCCTCCATCAGGGCCTCTGGTGAGACGTACCCCGAGTGGTGGCTGCTGGCGGCGGGTGACGGTTCAATGTCCAACTCCTTGTGGATTCTGGGGGGCGACGAGGGCATTGGCGCAGAAGACACGGTTGTGATCTGCAGAGGCATGTCCAGGCCTGGGCGCTCGACGCTGATGCCGCCCATCCCGAACTGCTCGTCCATCATGTTGAAGTCGTTCTCTGGGGAGTTGACCGCAGAGCTGTCCGAGTATCCGGACTGCGACGAGGTGGAGGTGGAGGACCTGTTCTTGGTCCTGGTGCGGGCGGACTTGTTGACGCGCTCGTCCATCTCAGGTCGGTGCTTGCGGGGGCGGCCGCGCTTGACGACCTTCTTGACGATGCCGTCGAAGGCTCCGATGCACATGCCGCGCTGGCGGTGGCGGGTGAGGGCGTCGTGGCGGGCGAAGCTGTTGCCGCACTCGCAGGGGTAGGGCTTGATGCCGGTGTGGATCTTGGCGTGGCGCTTCAGGTCGTGCTGGCGGACGAAGCACTTCTTGCATGTAGGGCACTGATATTGGCGATCGTTCAGATGGGTCTGGACGTGGGACTTGATGTTTTCCTTGCGGCCAAACTTCTTGCCACAGTCCTCGTACACGCAAGTCCACTTGCCGTCGCCAGGATCGGGGCCTTGGATGTAGTTTGCGATCTCCTCGATGGTGACACCGGTGTCGGTCTTGGTCTCCTCGATGTTGATGCTCGCGATGCTGGCGGCGCTGGCAATGCTGGCAAGAGACTCGGTACGGCGGTGAGGAGAAGTACGGCGGGACATGTCGAACGAACAAGTGGGGGAAGAGGACGAAATCTCCATGTTGGGATGCCTCAGATCGGGCCTGTTGTCGAACGCCGCGTGGAAGTTCATGAGAGGAGTGTGAGGGGTGGATTGCGCAGAGAGATCGGAGGCGGCGAAGTCGTCAGTGATGCCGTCGTAGGTGCCCTGGATCTTCATGAACTCGTTGTTGAAGTTGTTCATGTTCATGAAGTCGGCGGTGGGCATCGACTGCTCGTACATGGCCGCCTCGGTCACCTGGGTGGGTTGCTGGGGGACGGGCATGGCGGTCTGCTCAGACTGTCTCCGCAGCTCCTCAAAGATGTTCTGCGTCCTCTGGTTCGACCTCCTCGTGGGCTTGAGCGTCTCCTCCATGGACTCGTCGTAGCCGTCGGCGAAGCGACTCGGCCTAGCGGACATTGGCTCGTGCTTGATAGCCCGATCATGAGGCGTCTCCATAGGAGTGGGAGGAAAGTAATCTGCGACTTGTAAGTCAATGTACGTAGATGATGGTTCGCGAAACGTACTTGTTGCATTCTGAGTAGGGGGTGTCATTGGTCTTGACATCTGCTCAATGCCCATGGTCTCGAATTTGCTGACCCTCTCCATGATGCCGTTGCTGATTCTCCGCGACGACCGCCTCGTGCTGGCAGTCTCTCCCTCCGAGATCCAGCCCTGGGGAGTGTTGGGAGCGTCGCTAAAGTTCATGAAGGAGGGTGTCGAGAGGGCGCTGTCGGAGCCAAAGAGCTCAAAGTCCTTGTTGCCTCCCATGCTGGCGCCGTAGGCCTGCTGGTTCTTGGCCATCATGCCGTTCATCTGGTTGCCATACTGGTCGAACTGGATGGGGGTGGAATCGAAGCATGTGGCGTCGAAACGCTGGGCGGCCGGCGTGCCATGGGGGGACATGAGGTAGTTCTCGTGGTCGTTGGCGGCCACGAACATGTGTTGTCGGTGCTGGAGTTGTTGTTGTTGGTGGTGCTGTTGTTGGTGAAGGTGTGCTTGCTGTCGGGGGCCCGGGCGTGCTTGTATGCGTTGCTGCTGCGCTTCTCGCAGAACATGCTGCGGTTGTTGTGCTAGTCCTGTGTTGTTAGTAATACTTACCTGCGCAAAGTCCTGCCTTGTTCCGTTAGGAGACATCACTTGTCTGCGAGTATCCAGGCTGAGGCCCCGGCGGTGGCCGAGGGCACGTTGGCGCTGGACATTGTTAGGCAAGGGCTGGATCTTCACTGCTTCGAATGCCGTCGGTGTCGAGTTTTGGCGTCGGTGCCTGTGACGGGCATGAAGACTGCTGGTTGGCGGAGTGTTGGACAGCATTGTGTCGCAAGTCGAGTCCGGATGGGATAATTGTCGTCGGTTGGTTAGGTTGTCGAGGGAACCTTTTTGGTCCGAAACTGTGTGTAAGTTGGGTGTCAGCATCGACATCGACATGGACAAGTGCTCCATCATCACCATCAGCGACGGGAAGAGGGAGGAAAAAGACTTACCTCACGCAGCGCAAGCACAGCTGGCCGGGCTAGGGGGAGGGTTGGTTGTGCTCAGTCGGGGTCGACTTCGCGGTTAAAATCAGATAGAATCTGGTCTGGACGCCTTGTTCAGGCGAGGTAAGAAGGACGAGAACGCAGCACGCGTGCGGTCTCTACCTAGGCAAAGGTAAACTTGTCAATGGCAACAGGTGATTTGTGATGGATACACAAGAAGTGTTGGCTTCTTGGTAGACAGGCGGTGAAGGTGTTTTGGAGATGTGGTTTGATGCAGTCGCGATGGACGACGGGAGAGGTTGAGGTAGGTAGAGGATGGTCTTCCTGCAGTAGTGGATTTGGGGCGGGAGGAGGGGAGGAGATTCAAGATTCCACTTTGGAGGTGATCTGGGTGGGTAGGAATAGTAGTAGTAGTAGTAGTCGAAAAATAGTAAGGAAGGCAGCGGTAAGGATAGATCGATAGCAACGACTGGGTGCCAGCAAAGCGATGCAAAGACGGCTTCTGGTTGGAGGGGCGCTGTATCTGCGGAAACCAGACCAGGCTTTTTGGTGGTGGGCGGGTATCCAAGACGTGATGGGCTTTGTTGACATGGAGGGCCGGCCGTCGCCAGGGCAACAGCACTGGAGGAGGGCCCAGCTGCGATGAGCGCGGCGCACCATTTGGACCTGCCGCAGCTGCCGCAGCCTGTAGCTCCCGCCCTGCGACCAGGTGTTTTACCAATGAATCGATCTCTCCAGTGTCCCAGTGTCCCAGTGTTCCAGGGTACGTAGCTCGTCATCCCTCTAAAACACCCATGGATGCCTCTCCAACTCGCCAGAGCTGACGTCCACTTCCTTGCAATCCATCCTTTGCCGAACCAGGTTCGCCGCCTCTTGGGCCAAGGTTCTCTCTGGCTGTCAACATGTTTCTTGCTGCTAGCTCTTGTGCTAGTGTTATGAGGAAAGTTGCACCATCTGGCTGGCTTCTTGAAGATGATCCTGATACCCTGGCTGAGGTATTCGATGATTGATGCCATCATGCTTCTATCATGCAGAGTGCTCTTCAGCATCGTCAGATACAATAAACACCCGTCCGCAAGGTACCAATTGAAACAACACAGCCGACTTACACCGACACGTTGCCCTCCCAGTGCCGTCA